AGAGAGAGAGAGAGGAGAGTGTCAAATGTATTATAGACTTTGACTTAGCCTCATAGAACAATTCCCATGGATTTGAGCCATTGGTTTCTAGGTTGATAATGCTATCTCACCACTGGATGAACATAAATAAAACTTCTTATTCAAAAAAGAATGTCACAAAAACTGTGACAAATTTCAGAAGATGAGACGATAATACACATCATACCCCAAACCAAACATTACCTAATTGGTATGTGCCTTGTCTTTTAAATAGTCTTCGGTTTTCTACAGTTAAAAATGTTCAAGCACATATGATGTATTGAAGTGTCAACCAAATGTTTTCTACTTGAACTTTTCACTGTCTCTGGAAAATGATGCTATTCTGACAGGCAATATCGTCATCTGCTCAGTGATTCTCACTTTCAACTGGTCTTTCAACTATGTCCAGAGTTCTGAAATTCTCATTACAATTCACATGGTTGGATATGTTACTAGTTAGCTTAAGCTAAATTATTAAATGGTGATAACCTTCCACTCTAAGACCTTACAGTAAGGCTTGTTTCTCTTCACGGTATGTCAGTCATAGCATCGGCCTTACTTGGGATGGCCAGGTAAAAAGAAACACTTTCCCTGGATATGCCAGACAGTCTTAAAAGGGGAAGAGAGACGGCAGAACCAAATGACGATACAGCAGCAGTATGGCAGTAGGGCATGTCGTGTCCTTGCATTTTTCATCAAGGACAAGTCTGCAATCCAGACAAGTGAAGCAAGAAGGCCCTCTTTTGGGGACAGTACTACAGCACTACTGAGGTGCACCATTTACGAAAGCCAGGGGTAGGTGTTGCTAATGTACCAAGTAATAAAACTTTTTTTTTAATCTCTGAGATGATTTAGTTGATTTAAATTTTCTGTGCATTCACAGAAAAATAAGAAAAATCACTTCAAAACTTAAAGAGTAATTCTCCATGGAAGTCCTTAGCTTCCAGAGCGGTCCAAGTACAAATAGTATCAACTTACAAACTCAACTAACTGAAATCTTTACTGTATCACTCTGAATGAAATTATCTGTTCCTCCCTCAACTTCCATTGTAACCACCAGAGGATCCTCAGAAAGAGGGTCTTCTACCAGACCATTCAAATGTGTGGCACATATTTAATAAAATCCCATTATTTTTGTGTGCTATTACAATTAAGAAAGGTGCAATTTCATTTATGTGGATGACATATTCGAGGTTAATGAAAAGCCTTAAAATGGCAGATTTTAAATGTAATTGCTATATGCTAGGATATTTGTATATAACACATAGAATTACCCTACCCCCTCCCTAGTGATCCTAATTTTTAGGTTATTTGTAAGTAGCTAGTGCCTTGGGAACTGAGTCTAGCTTTTAAAAAAATTCAACCTTTTCCACATTCCCTTTCTTTTTAAAAGATATTTTGAAATTTATTTTCCAAGAGAAAGTAAGTAAAAGATCTCATTCTGGGGTTCTAGCTTTAATTCTTTAAATAGTATTTTCTAAGATGGTTTTTTGGCTTTTCAGTAATGGACATAAGAACTGAGCACTTGGCATAACAATTTATCCATCAGAGGACAATTATAGCTAACAGGGTGATTGGTAGTATTTTAATTACCTACATTTGCTGCTCATTTAATCCCTACAGCAGTCTTATAAGTGCTAGTATTGCCCTCATTTAATACATGAGAGGGTCAGCACTGAGAAAGCAGTGATGTCCAGCAGGGTTAAAGCAGAAAGTAATAGCAGAAGATCGTTTAGATGCTCTCAAGCCTTCAGCACTTCAACTAGAAGAATTTCAAGCAAACCAACTGAAGGAATGCCAGGTGGTTCTCTTCAGCTTTAGTCTAAGGCAGTGGTTCTTATTCCTAATGATGTGACTCTTTAATACAGTGCCTCATGTTGTGATGCCCCCAACTACAAATTAGTTTCACTGTTACTTCATAACTGTGGTTTTTCTACTGTTACGAATCAAAATGTAAATATCTGTTTCTGATGGTCTTCAGCGACCCTATGAAAGGGTTGTTCAAGCCCCTACAGGGGTTGTGACCCACAGGTTGAGAGCTGCTGGTCTGAGAAGAACTACTTCCTGTTTTCATCCCGGACAACAAACAGTAACGCCCATGTTTGTGAAGATGAAGACAGGACATGTGTAGAGAGGCCCTGTTACAGTCTTGCAGCAGTAGTCTTTCCTGAGCATGATGAGCACAGGCCCTCAAGGGCAAGCTCAGCAACATTCTTCAGATTAGAGCAGAAGCCAAGTGCACACATTCCAGTTTCTTCCTGGATGGTTACCTCGCCAGGCCTATGGAGCTGCATCCCACAGCAAACTGGAAGTCCAAGAGTGTCTGCCAACCTAACCTCACAGAAGGCTTCTTCTTGCAGGCATTTCCTCGGGTTAATATATGTGTATAATGTTTTGATATGATAGTTTGGATTAAAGGAGATATGGTTTTATTTTAATCTTTTTTATTTTAATTTTTTATATAAATTAGTTTATTTATTTTGTATCCCAGCTGTAGCCCCCTCCCTCATTCCTTCCCAACCCCACCCTCCCTCCCTCATCTCCTCCCATGCCCGTCTCCAAGTCCACTGATAGGGGAGGTCCTCCTCCTCCTCCTCTTCCATCTGACTCTAGTCTATCAGGTCTCATCAGGACTGGCTGCATTGTCTTCCTCTGTGGCCTGGTAAGGCTGCTTCCCTCTCAGGGGGAGGTGATCAAAGAGCCAGCCACCGAGTTCATGTCAGAGACAGTCTGATATGGTTAATCTTAATATAATAGAAATACTGTTTCTAAAGTTGTATAATTAAAATTGAAGATACAAATATTTAAGATGATGAAAATAATCAAAGTGCTGTCATACTCTATTTACAATATTTATGATTTGCTGAGCTTTTTCATTGGTTGTTTTATGATTACCTTAGAGGTTAAACCTCAGTAAACTCAGATCTTCTCAATGTTAGAAGTAGCATCTGTCCTTTCTTATCAGCTCATTCTAGAAAGTAGAAGCACTAGAGAATAATCTACCCATAGGCGCTTTTTCCTTACTTTTGTTTTCTTTTTCTGTGTCCGTATGTACGCATGTGCACACGCGCGCAGTGTGCTTGTCTCTGGGCAACGGTCACGGAGTCCTGCGGATCCACTTGTCTCTGCCCTCCAGGGCTGGGGACATGGACATACACACTCCCGGCCTAGATTTCACGTAAGTGCCTGGGATCTGCCCCTCAGCTCCTCACGCTTGAGCACGGAGCCCTCTACCCAGTGGGTCTACCCAGCTCTTAGGTGGTAACTATACTAGAAAGTGTTTAAACTTTTAACCATCAGATGCCATTTCACTGAGAAATAGGAGAAACTAGGAAAAGTTGGTATGAAAACGTTGACTGGACTCGTGAGTAGTCTGGAGAGGTTGAGAAAAAGGAGGCAATAAAAACTGATAGGTAGCTGTTCCTAAGAAAAAGAACAACACTGAGAAATAGAACCATCCATCTTTCCTAAATTCATCATAACTTTGCTTCAGTAATATTAATATTTTTGACAAATTAACATTAAGCAATTATAAAGGCCACATAAGTAATTTGCAATTCTGTTTTTTTTTTCTACATGGTCACTTTCCTCACATTTTTTTTTTTTTATCTAAAAAGCAAGTTGGGAAAACAAACAAACAAACAAAACCTTAAACATGGCAAACCTGTATGTAATATAACACGTGTGTACAGTCAGATTCTTTGGTTACTAATCTACTTTAACATTTAAAGATTTATTGGATTACTAAATCTGAGAATTACACCCTTCTCATCTCATAAATATACTGCTAACTTTGGTGACTCCATGCACTTAAACTTATTTGTTTCAGGAAATGGTTTCCAAACATTTGTATTCTGGAGTGGAATGTTTGCGCAGGCTCAGGATATATATGATCCACAGATCTAAAAGGATAAATGGATAAAGTGTTACTGGGCTGAGAACTTCTTGAGACATGGTATTTAGATGCTTCTATTTTAAAAGAACTTTTAAAATAGAAAAGGTATCTGCCATTCTGCTTTCAAGCCAACTAGCACTAATGAAATAACCGACGTTCAAATTTTTTGGAGAACTGGTGTGCGTGAAAAAAATAATTTTAGGAGAGCTACCCTACTCTAGCTTTTTCTCTTTTCGTTGTCCCTAACGCGCCAGCGTTCTAAATGTCTTAAGTTGCATAGCTGAAAGGATTTTGCTCATTTTTTCCAAAACATTTCGCTTCTGGGCAGTAGCCAACCATGGAAAGTTTTAAGCACATTTAGGAGGCGGATGAAGCTCGCCGGGGCTGTCTTGGCAGGACCGAAGCCCTCAGAAGGGCGGCCACATGCCCCATCACTAGCTGGGGGAGAGCAGCTGGCTTGGACCTGCCACCTCCGGGCCACCCTCCAGCCCTGGGCGGCCAGGACTCGCGCACTCCGGCTTCCTCAAGAGCTGGAGGACGCGCATCCCCGGAGCGCACCTGCCTGGCGAACGGCCTGACTCTGGAGCCCGCGGTCCTCGCCCAGCGCGGCCTCAGGCGGCCCGAGGCGAGGGCAGGGTCGCCGGCGCGGCTGGCTGCTCGGCCCCAAACGTCAGCCGCGCTCCTCCCCGCCCTCCGGCCCCCGCGGGACTGCGCACGGGCGCGGAGACGAATTTGACCGGCCGGCTCGCCAATCAGAAGCGAGGTCGGCAGGCTGAGCCAATGGGAGAGCGCGCAGGGGGCGGGCCGCCGTGTCCTCCCGCCCCCGGCTGCTGAGCGCGGAATGTCTCCAGCCCTCCCCTGCGCGTCCGCCTCAGTGCGGAGCTCGCGGCGGCCGGAGCAGCAGCGGCGGCCACCGGCAGGCTCGGCGGGGTTGGCGGCGGCGGCGGCGGCGGAGCAGCGGGGACCACACCCTGCCGCGGGCCCTTTCTCTTCCCAGACCTCCCTCCGCCGCGCGGGACACCGTTGCGGGAGCACAGCGGCCGCCCCCGCGCGGAGCATCCTTGGGTGACCGGCGGGCGCCGGCGGCATGATGAGGCTGCGAGGCTCGGCGATGCTGCGCGAGCTGCTCCTG